GATGAGATAAAAATTGCACAATGCCCTGCCTAACGAAGAAATTTGGTTGTCCATTAACAATGAAACCGAAAGAGTACATCTGCGAAAACAACTTCAAACAAACAGCAAGAAAAAAGCATGCCGCCCTAATACTTATAAAATGATCCATCTAGAAGACAAGCTCGTGGGGTTTCATGCCCGCCTTAAGTGAAAATCTTGCTGCCAAGTAAGCCTTCAACTCCGGAACACACTCAATGGATTTAATCAAAGCAGCATCTACAGCTTTCTGATCATCCTTCTTCTCTGCTGGGAGAACATTTTTCTTCTGGATTTTCGGATAAGATAAGAAAAGATGAGTCATAAAAAGCAGCTACACTAAACAGGCAAAAATGATACCATACTCTTAAATAACAAAAGCCAACCTCTTTCTCTGTTTCAAAGAACTCGCCCTCTCCCTTCTTATTCTTTTTCTCAGCCACCTTGGCAAAGTACTTATCATCGAACTTATCTACATTGACTCCAGAGATGTCGACCTTGGTCGAAGTGCCAATGACATAAGACTGATTCACACGTCTGAGAGGAACACCATTGACCTTAAATGGACCTGAATTGAAAAATAAACAAGTAGATTTAGGTGGACCACCAAAATCAGATACCATGAACGGCTGGAAATTCAATAAAAAATTTCGCAACAAGTCCTTTTAAGCAACTTGCAGAATAATCCCCTGGGTAAATTAGATACTATTGGTAAATTAATATTAATGAAGGAAAGTAAAAGGACTGACCCGTGATCAGAAGCAACCCAGATGGAAGCTGCTTCAGGAAAACAACTCTCTTCCCCTTGAACCTTCCAACAAGTAAGATCAACACTGTACCTGGTGTGATACTTGCCCTATACACACACATACACACACACACAAAATATATATATAACATATATATATATCCTCAGATATAAAATTGCTAAATTACTGCAAACATAATTGATAATTGATGAAACTAGAGCATTGTTAGCTAAACACAAACCCAAATATATATATATATATATATATATATCCCACAATTAAATATAAAACAAATCATATAAATCAAGGACAAATAGAACAAAACATTAATGTCATATGTTGGCTGTTGCTAAGAATAGCTATTCCTTGGTACTGATACTTTGTACTAAATTAGTGGATGATTTTAACTATTAAGAGTAGCAATCCATTGAAAAGGCTTTGATAGTAATTGGTAAGGAATGGAATGGTCATTACTCCCAACCAAACAAAACAACCCTAATTCCATATATATAGAGAAAGAAATGCATTGCATTGCATTGCATATGTCAAATAAAAAAAAAAAAATCAATTGTTACAAAGCGGGGTACCTTAGCTTGGTGGGCTTAGGCTTCCGCTTGTTTGGGAGCGGCTTCTTTACGTCATCGGCGGGGTAGAATTTGGGCGGCTTCTCAGCCGGGGAAGCAGGCTTGGGTTTGGGGTCGTGACGAGGGAAGACGCCGCCGTTTTTAGCCTTGATAGCCCAAAGACCCCTCTTGTGGTACATCTTTGAACGGGAGTACTTTCCGATCCCCCGTATCAGATCTGGATTCCGACTGATTCTCGGCGTACCTCGTTTCGGCGCCATCAGGGTTTCGTTGTCTTTTGTCTTCCCCTGTGTCTCTGAGCTAAGATGGCACAAACCCTAGCCGCACAAACGACGACTATATATATATAGATACGCAAATTAAAAGTGGGTGAAACCCTAATTGAAAACCCCAGAGAGAAAGTGGGTCGAGTAATCAGACTTGGGTTTTTCATAAACAGAATTGGGCTTGGGCTTGGGCTTGGGTACTGGGTTCTCCTCCTATTGTACATTTTTTAATTAATAAAAATACAATAAAAATAGAGAGAATTGGTAGAGAAACGAGAAGGTGACTCACCGCCAAACCCCTCCGTCTCGGTGGATAATGTAATAACGCGATCTAAAGGCCCCAAGTTCTCGTGAGGGTGGAGTGGAGTGGAGTGGAGTGGAGTGTGGACATTCAAAGCAGTGAAAAATGGGTTCCCTAACATCATCATCTCTTCTTCAATCTCTCGTACCAGTATCAATACCTCAATCCAATCTCCTAAATCCTCCAAACTCCTCCTTAAGACTGCCATCTCTCATCCAACCAACCAATTTTGCTACTAAAAGACTCGCCTTTAGTTTGCATTTCAAGAGGAACACAAGGCTCTTTGCTGTGGCAGAAGACCAAATCTCAGTCTCCGAGGCTGCCCTGAGGAGGCTTTATGTTGGCAATATTCCCAGAACTGTTGACAATGACGAGCTTAGGAAGATTGTTGAACAACATGGCGCTGTCGACAAAGCCGAGGTATTTGCTTGCTTCTGTTACTTGTGCTTTTCTTTTTCTTTTTTTTTTCTCTTTTCGTGATGCAGGGAGGGAAAAAATGGTTGCTGCTCCTGTTTTCTCTTCTTGTTCTACTTCTAGTAAAAATGAAGGATCTTCATCTTGGTTAATTTAGAAGGTTTTTGAGTTAAAAAAAAAAAAAAATTTTCATTCATTTTCAAGCTGGTAACTTAATTTGGGGGTTGTGATACGGTGGCGTGGATGGATTGGTATTTTTGAAGTAAATTTAATTGATTGTTATAGATGAAAAATGGTAGTCTTTCCTCCTTCCTTTCTGACCTTCTCATTTGGGTATGAAATAAATAATAATGGGGCTATGTTTTGTTCAGATAGAAATGTTAATATTGCGCTTGGTTTATCATATAGATGCATGTTACTTTCTTCAAAATTTCAAGCACATCCTTTTTTTTTTGAAAAAAAAAAAAAAGAAGAACAAGAAATTAGTTACCCAAAAAATTCAGTGTCTGTACAAAACAGCTCAGTTTTTGGCTGCTACTCTCATGTAATTACGTTTCTGTATCAGCAAAATCAACAACGAAATGTTCAAATTATCTATCTGGATGACTTCTGCATAAAATCTCAAGCCCCATCTAATTACAGTCTCAAGTGGTAACTGTGAAGTCCCTTGTTGTGCAAACCTAAGTACCTCATCCCTTGTATAAGTATTACTCACATCTGGTTATTTTATTACTCCATTCTTTTGTTTGGACCACTTTTAAGAAAGATATTCCAGTTTAAATACTCTTCACCACTTTTATTTATAGTGGTAATGTATGGAAATTCTAGGATGCCATTGTAGGAATATCCCAGCCTCTTGGTGGAGGACACAAGTCCTCATAGTTGTGATTGTCAATGTTATTTCTGTCACTTGTATGATCCTTGTTTTGTTATGTAAATAAGGATTTTTTAAATAAAATGTACTGGTAGTCTTAATGGAGTAAAAGGAAATGTAGGACGAGTCTCTGTAAATAGCATGTGCTGAAAACTGCAAATTTCATGTGTTGATATCTAATTAAGGTTGTATAGGTACATATTTTTGCCATCCCAAAAAAATAATAATAATAACTTCATTTCAGTGCTAAATTTGGAGATTAATTTTGCTCATGTATTTATGAATCCTGATAGGTTATATACGATAAGTATTCTGGAAGGAGTCGCCGATTTGCATTTGTTACAATGAAAACTGTTGAAGATGCAAATGCAGCAATTGAAAATCTAAATGGCGCTGTAAGCTTCAGTTATACTTTAAACTTCTAGAATAATCGTGAGAGATGCTTATACTGTTACATTTCATGATTCATATACATCCATCCAAGGCACAAGATGATTAGTTCCATATTTGTCTTTTATTACAGCAAATTGGGGGGCGTGAAATCAAAGTAAACATCACGGAGAAACCTTTGACACAAGTAGACTTTTCTCTCCTTCAGGCAGAGGAATCCCAATTTGTGGATAGTCCGTCTAAAGTTTATGTGGGAAATCTTGCAAAGACAGTAACAAGTGATACACTGAAGAAATTTTTTTCTGAGAAAGGGAAAGTTCTTAGTGCAAAGGTTTCACGGGTTCCAGGGACCTCGAAATCAAGTGGGTTTGGTTTTGTGACCTTTTCTTCTGAAGAGGACGTAGAAGCTGCCATCTCATCTTACAACAACTCTGTAAGCTTTTTGACTTCCCTTTTGCTTGACCCTGGTTACTCCATGATGCATGTCTATCTTGATCATAAACTACATGATAACGGACAAAGTCATGAAAGATGCCATTACTAAGTGCCTATTTGGTGAAGAAGTTAATAGCTTTGGTGACGGTGACAACATTATTGTTGGTTTTTGTTGATATGTTTGTTTTTAACTTGACAGCTTTTGGAAGGGCAGCGCATCCGTGTAAACAAGGCATAGAAATAAAGGGGTTGACAATGTTGCAGCATGCACGAGGTTGGAGAGAGAGGTGTAATCTGTATCCATTGTGTTTGCAAATTTAAGACCATGCAATGCAAACGAACTAAAACTACCATGAAATGATGACAGTAGGTTTTCCTCAAGTAAATTCCTCTGTGTTTTGGGAAAAAGAATTTATTGGATAAATCTTCAGCGGAGCTTGTATTAAATTTTAAATATTTGTTAGTAAAAAGAAGTTTGTTTATTATCAGCGTGAGTATGGATGTATGATTTAGGCTTTTGATTTAGCGGCTTGGATTGGAAAGGCTTGAAACAGGGGCAGGGGCAGAGGCAGAGCAGGAACTGTACTTGAACTTGTAAATTTGATGTTTAAAACCCTTGAATTCTTCTATTCTAATTCTAATTCTAAAATAACAAGTGAAGATTTTAACCTATAATCAAAAATCGGCGCGGCGCCTTTTCTTGTTAACCGCGCCTCAGAAACTATAAAATTGAAACCTCTTTGATTGTGTTGTCTTGTTTAGACCAGATGTCCCCCATTGCCCTGAGGATGTCAGGCCATCTTCTACTAGTTTTTTTTTTGTTTTTTGTTTTTTTTTTTAGCCAGTGTAATTAGAGAGAATGGGGAAATGAAATTATCAGGACTTCAACTTTAAATTTCTAGACGTCACTACATTTTTCAAAGGAATTATGGCTATGAGACCACAATAGAGGTTGGCCATCTTCTATTGAGTGTTGTTTGGATGTATTCCAAGAAGGTTGATTGTCTCTTCCATGACTGCCGTACCGTCAATGATATGATTAAGGCCTTTGATGCCCAAAAGCACCTTGTTGATTTGCCTGTTAATAAAAAACAAGCACCACTTCAAGCTATTACTCTTCCAGAGACACTTGATCTTGATGTCTTCCAAGTACTAGATGATGATATATACACTGAGCCTGAAACGTGAGCTTTTTCAATTAATAAATCTCTTTCTATTTCTCCTGCCATCTGAATATTAACTATTATTAAGATGGCATGGCACGTCGTCCAATTTTCCTGCTCAGGAGAGTCAGGATAATCATCTCAGCAATGAGGAAGATATCAGCCTCCCAGCTTAGAAACCAGCATTGTTTTTTCTTTGATATATATATATACAAATTGTAACTACTGCATCACAGGCCCTTTTTTTTTTTTATCTCATCTCACAGACCAAATTCCTACGGGAAGAAATCTCTATGTTGCTCTTAGATTTATTGGAGTCTTCATTCATCACTTTGCCTTGATCAATTATGAGCTTTGAGGTTTATGAATTACATTTTCACCGATCCAAGCATCTATTGTATGTAGGATATGACAGATGTTTTGCATCCTGATTCGGGAGACCAACCAATGGATGAGGAGTATGTTTTTTAATTTATATGGAAATTCTATTTTGGATCTTTGAGAATGAAATTTTAGGATGGAAGCATGCTTGTGATGATTTCATTTCCTTACAAATTTCAGTTTCATCCTTCATCCTGCCATGGATGCCAATTTCCAAGGCGTAGAACAGAATTCAACGGCAGCTTTTCAAGATCCTGGTCCAAATAATCAGACTGAAGAACCTAATGTCATTTTTTATGACAGTTTCCCTCAAGATTTTCCAGAAATTGAAGTCAGGCGTGATGCAGTCCATGATATTAGCAATGAAGGCCTGCCTCCAAGGCATCCAGATCAGAGATATGATGTGACTGAAACAACAGCCTCGTTGGAAAAAAATTTGGATAATAAGGGGATTCATACTCGAAGTCTCATGAGCTTGTTGACTTCTGGAGGAGAGTCTATGCCATTTCATGGGCCACCAACCTCTGCTTCTCTAGAGTCCTCTGGGATTTTCTTTGGTGGGTACACATTTATAGTCCAGTCCCTGGATAGAAATGCTACTTATGCTATGCCTGAATATGCTTCTCTCTTGCTATTTGAATAAAGTTTCAGAGTTTCGTTGTTTCTGTGCCTCAGCACATGAATCGCCTCAACTTACCGTTCAACTGTCTCCACCAGTACAGCTGCCAAAAACGAGACGTAGACCACAGAGGAGGTTCTTTGATAATCAACTAGTTTTGTCCAATAAGTATGTCTGGCCACATGATTTGTATTGTATTCCTGTGTCTTTGATGCCAATTATTGATATAGGAAAATGGATAGGTCTGTGAAGAAGGCATGTAAAGATCCTAGCAATCTATTACAGAAGAGAAGGAAAGTCCATCCCTCTGCCTTGGCTGTTGGCAACCCAAATAACTGTCTTAGAAGGGAAAAGTATTTAATGGGCCTTCAGTAACTGGTAAGATGGCCTTTCATCGTCAGATTTTGTCTTGCCACTTGGCTTAAAGGTTTAAGGAATACATTTCCTGGAACATGGATTTTGTGTGCTTGCAGGGATTTGTGTCGATATATCTGTATCTTAATTTGCAATGGACTGCATCTCTTCAAAACCCAATTTTGTTGTACTGCTGGAGGCTGTTTCGGTGCCTGAAATCGACAGGGAAACTGAATGTCTTCCAGATGATCAAGACAGTGCTTATGACAATATTTTACATGAATTTGAGCCCTCCCCTTCTAGGCTGCTGCCTTCTCCTGTAAGGGGTCATTCATCTCCACTATCAATTAGCGGTTTTGGATCAGAGACAGTGACTGCAGCACTTCCAACACCAGACATTGCAATGTCTACTGGAACT